ATATGTCAACTTAATTGGATATATCAGTATAAGACGCTGTAACTAGATCTCATTTACTATGAGCTAGAGCACTAATTTAACACACAACTTTCACAACAAATTTTCAAGTTTGTCAAACCATTCTTGGTTGACTTTGCTCCTGAACAATTTAACACCAAAATTAACAGACTAAATGTTAAATATAGCTTCAATTATTTATTAAAACAAATGGCAGGACAACGTCCTAAATTCTCACTGACTTAATCTATAAACAACATCCAACAATCAATCAAGATATCACTATTTCTTTTGAAATAATATATACAGTCAGACCTCATTATAGTCACTCTTGATATAGTCACGACCTTGTTATAGTCACACTATTTCTTAATCCTAGCCATTATAAAATATATAAACTTTAACCTTTATTTAGTTATGCTTTTTTATAATCACTAAATTTTTGTTTCTCAACCTGGTAATTATATCAAGGTCTAACTATATTTCCTTTACAAATATCTTATCTAAATTTACTCAGGTTCTGTTTACCAAACTTAACTATGCAAAAATCTTTGCTTTATATAACTCTATACCACTCTACACTACCCCCAACTGCCATAATGTAGCACTCAAATTTGCTAGACTTCATCTTTTTCTTCATGATGAATACAAAACTATTAATAGAGCCCAATTCATTTAAGACTTAAATATTCGTCCTATTCATCACTTCTTTAGATATTAAAAACCAACCTCTCTTTAAAATCCAAAATGATAATAAGTTTAATGTTAACATTTCCTTTAATATATCCAAAAAACAATTTTTATATGATTTTCGTATTCCATCTCTCAAACCTCATAAAGCCAACTTTGATGACTGGTTTGAACCTTTCTTTAAAGTTTACTAATGACAATTTCTTAAGATAGATAAACAAAAAACCTATAACTTCTTAAAACACCAAATTGCTACTAAACTTGCAGAAATATGCAAAAGCTTTCTTTCACAAATCTTAACAATTACTTTCATTTCTTCATACAAAGAACGCATTACTTTATACAGTGTCACGGGTTAATTCGGTACCCTGGAATTTCGTGGTGCTGGGTTTGGTCTGGATCGGGATACGTAGATGGCGTGATCTGGATTTGCATAAGTGGGGTGATTCGGATCTGCATAAAAGTAATTAAAAGTCTAATCTAGTGATAGTCTAATGCGTGTAACCCAGATAATAATATATCCGGAGATAATCTTTGTATTTAAATTGAGCGATCTAATAGTAATAAAGCGTGAGAAGTTAGCTTAGTGAATAAACGTGCTAATTGAATAAACTGTGTGGTCGCCCTTGTAGTAGAGAAGGTGTCGAAATAAAAGGTGGTAGTACCTGGCACGTTACCCTTCGTCTGTGTGTATAGCCAAGCGAATGAAGTTGGAATTGAGAAGCAACAAAGACCCCGTATACCGTAGTCGGACTTGACACCGTCAACCTGTAGGCAAGGACACCGTAAAACCGCATGATCATCCGGCGGATCGCAAATAGTGAGTAACTGGGATGGCCGTTGATGATGCAAATTATCGGGTAACTTGTCCTGGTTAACCTGCATCATTTGGGTAATTTGTTGAAACGTAAGCCCATACCTGGCCCCATTAACCTTTTGCACCCGGATTTGATCCTGTCAGTCATTATTCTATTCCTTCTTTTTCAGCGTTTGATTCGTGGGTTACTCTACTCCTAAATAAGGAGCAAGCCTTCGTTAATTAGCTTGGGTTGTATCTTCCTTTCGAATTCCATTCGCAGGTAAATTCTTGATAAGATATGCTAAAACTAAAGTAACTGACACCCGTAATCGGGTGAGTATTGGTGGTTCTCCTGAATTAACAGGTTTTTCCTATTTTTCTTTCAAGAAAAATAAAAGAACCACAAGACTTTTGTTTGTCAAAGGGAATTCGAGGGGCTAGATACCCTACACAACAAAAAACTAGCTGGGAGAGGTCCTGAAAATACCGGGTCTTTTTTAAAGTTGTTTTTTGACCCAACGATAATATCAACAAAGTAATAAACACTCCGTCTGGTGGCAGCGTCGTGACATTATCCCACTTGCCAAAATTGGTCGATTATTGAGATCGAATCCGATTTATGAAGTACCGAACAATTTTGGTTAATTCTGGTTTTCTAAGAATTTCTTATCCAGATATCAAATGAAAAAATAAGAAATTCCTTTCATTAAGGGTTTGGTACACCTTAACGATCGATATTTTTATTTTCTAATAAAAAACATTTAAACCGGAATTAAAGAAAAATTCTGTCACTTCCAAAATTTAAATACATTTTCTTGCATCCATTTTTTAAAAAATACCACTTATTACAACACGTTTTCTTAATTTTATATCCTTTATGTGGGTCTCATGATACTGCGTCCAAGTCGCGAAATCTGGAAACTTTACAGCTCAAACAGTAAAGGCCAATGTATCAAAGTATTTTTTTGTAATATAATTTTTTTTAATTTGTAAAAGTAATTTATGCTGTGTTGCGATTGACTTGTTCAATTTCTGGATATAATTATAATATTATTTAAATAAATTAATTATATAATAACAATATTAAAATTTTTATTAAATAAATATATATTTTAAATATACTGTATTATATAAGCATTGTATAAGTACAATTCCAAAAATCTGTGGATATGTCTTTAAATAAACATTGTTTTATACGTATAAAAAGAAAAAAATTTTTAGCATAAAAATTAAAGTGTGTTTCTTATTCTAATATCACAATCATGAGAAATATTTAATTGAATCTTAAAAAAATTCAAGTATTAACTCATTGTAAAACTGTAGTTAACTGTAGTTTTAAAATAAACTACAGTTTATTTAATTGTATTTTCTTGATCAATATTTATATAAAAATTATTCATGAAATTCTCATTTTATAAGAACTC